CGTACAGAATGCATCAGCGGTCCAAGAACCACAGCGCTGTCCACACAGCGTCCCGTCACAACAATATCAGCCCCGAGATCCAGGCAACGTTTAATGGGGAGGGCGCTGAGAGATACAGACACGAGAAAGCTGAATCTCATATGCTCAAACCACCAGTGCAGCTCCAGGCATGAAGTACAGACAGGACCAATGACACGCTGCAATTAACTTGTAGTTCTTACCCAAAATACGCATTCATGCTGTGAACGCTTTTTGGAAGTGGTTTCTTTCCCAATGAATCAGTCATCCTTAGTTCAGTCAAAGAGTCTTTCTAGGATACACAACAAACCAAAAGATGACAGGAAAGACTTCAACACTGTCTAAAAATTCCTAAGTAAGGGTAGAGGATATAATAGTATTAGTCCTATGGCTAAAGTAATAACTTATACTTAGATGTTGCAATCTTCCAAAAATAGGGTAATATTTTACAGGTGGTGCCCATAAGTAGTGTTAAAAGCATTAATTATACTCTACCGTTTAAAGGTTCAGGTCAGTACGTTTTTTTAAATGCTTTTATGCTCATTAATGCTGCATTTATTTAATTAAATATACAGTTATATTGTGAAACTAGGGCTGGGCAACGATTAATCGCGATTAATCGTATCCAAAATAAAAGGTATAATTATTTTGTATATAAATATTCACACACGTGCATGTATATATTTAAGAAAAATGTGTTATTAATATATTCAAATTGTAATATTTTAACATATTTAATATAATATATGTTAATTTAATATATTTTGATATATTAATATTTATATTTAATATAAATTATGTATAAATATATATACACTATATGCATGCAAATATTTCATTTCATTTATTTATTTATTTCAACAGGGACAATGTGCAAAAAAACATTAATTAAAGATGCTTTGCACCAGATTTAGCTTAAGCTAGTTTCCATCTGTAGTCCCCGAGCAGGTGAATTACAATACAAAAAATACAATATAAAATGTTATAATTAGTCACTCAAATACAACTATCTATCAATTCATTCATTCATCATTCTCTATTTCAACCATCAATAAAACCTCACTAAAAGTCATATTTACATACATAATTATCTATGCTGGCACAACTGGTTGTTCAATAGTACTTTCCTTATATTGATAGAAAAATCCTTCAGGTTAAAAGTGAGTTTTAGAGCCTTTGGGAGTTTGTTCCATTCTTTAATGCCCTTGAATGAGAATGATATATACATGTATGTGTGTGTATTTATATATATATATATATATAGATATATATATATATAAATAATTATACTCACTACACACATATATTATGTAAACACAAACTTTATTTTGGATGCGATTAATCATTGCCCAGCACTATGTGAAACATTTTTATATTTTAAAATAACTGTTTTCTATTTGAATTTATTTTAAAAAGTAATTTATTCCTGTGATGCAAAGCTGAATTTTCAGCATTAATACTCCAGTCTTCAGTCACATGATCCTTCAGAAATCATTCTAATATGCTGATTTGATGCTCAGGAAATATTTCTTATTATGATCAATGATGAACAGTTGTGCTGCTTAATATTTTTGTGGAAACTAATAACACATTTTCAGGACTCTCTGATAAAAAATAAAGTGTGAAAAGACATTATAAATGAATCAGACATTATAAATTTGTAAAAAAATAAATAAATAAATCGATTCATTAAATATTATGCCCTTAAATATTCGTCAATGTCTGTTGAATAACAGATGCTAAGAAACTAAATACAAAACATTCAAAACTGTATTGTTTGTTGTGATGTATCATGTTGGTTTTCATGTTGGATTATACTGACACCTAGTGATGTGGCTGTAGTATCAGGAAAAAACTAAAGTTCAATTACCTTTGGCATCAGGTCATCGCCAGTGACCACAGCTACCTTCAAGTCAAGTCCCGCTTTTTTAACTACTTCCTGTAAAGCTGCTCCACAGGCAAGAGGATTGACTCCTCCAGCATTACTGACCACACGTATGCCTACAGGAAGAAGAAACAAAACAGCATGACAACAAGGCATTCAGTCTAAAAAGTATTTCCATAAAATATTATGAATGAAGATAAACCATTTTTGCATGTTATATTATAAGATAAAAGTAAACATAACACAATACAACCCATATAAACATGAATTAATCTAATAAAAATGTGTCTGGGTAAAAGTCACATTCTTGTCATAACTTTACATTACCTCTTTTGCTGATATCCTTAATAAATGGGGTGAGTGAAAGGACAAAATCAGGAGCATATCCCATGTTCTTAAAGAAAAGGGAGCATTGTAAATCTCAGTGTGTATCATAATTATCAAATTAAGTTAAAAATATTGTTAAATATCAGTTTTGTGGGTCACAAGGTATAAATAACTTACAGGTGCTTTAGTTTTGGCTACTGAGAGCAGTGACATGGTGATTTCTGACAGATAATCAAACACAAGGAAGTCCAATTTCCCACCATATATGAGCTGAGGAACTGCATGGGAGAGATTTTGTGAGATTGTTTGTTTACACAATTTCATCAAGACAAAATTGGCCCATAGGCTATTTGGACACTTACACCACACTTACAAATGTATATGAATGTATGAATTAAAAACAAAATATCAAACCAAGTGGCATTTATTCTAGGTAAATATTGCATTAGCACGCTTTTACAAGCAAAACATTTTGCAATATTGTTTTTTTTTTTTTTTTTTTTTTTTAGGGCTCTATCGTAATAACATGAGTAGGCTATGTTTAATTAAGACAAAAATATTTTTGGTTGTTAAACGTTATGAACATACATAATTCCACTAAAGTTAGCTTGAGAACAAGTTGGAAGGAAATGTTTAGTAGTCAATCATTTGTTTTCAGATTCCCGGTTGTTTTGATGTCATTTAATAATGCAGTGCCAGTGAAAGTCAAACAACATATTTAAAGTGTGAAAGAGTGAAAAGGCTTTGGTGACATCTAGTGGCCAGTCACGGAAACAACTACGTTTTTTAGTTCGCTTGTTTTGTGTACGTTCTACTCAAGAACTAAAATATGCAGAAATGGATAAATAACTTATATCCAATGTCAAAATACATAAAGTAAATAATTTAATTTAAATACCTGACGTTGCAGTATCACCCCAAAACCCCGAAGCGCATCCAATCCGTAGAGTTCGGTGTGCTGATGAGGCGTAATGTCTGATACTGATTCTGTGACCTGATTTTCTTGTAAAACATCTGACAGTAGTTGCAGATTCGGTGATATTGTGTGAATATGAGACATTATTCCCGAAGAAAGGCAGTGGTGAGGTTGAACAAACTCTCAATGTCAACCGATGCAAACTCCCGGATATGCGCGTGAGATTCGTCATGCTCGACAAACGCGTTTCTTTTGAATTTATTTTTTATTTTTATTTTATTTTATGCGGACAGGCGATAGCAAACTTACTACAAGATTAGACTTTCAAAGTACATTCTCGTTCTACACACAATCGCATCCGTGTAGGACAAAATTATATTATCGTGGTTCCTACTATTCTACAGTTCGCACGCACACACACACACACACACACACGTGCATTATATGTGCTGCTATATTACTATATTTATTGCTACACTGCTACTTTAGCAGTTGCCATTTTTTCTATTATGACCATATGTAAAGGTTTAATTTGCAAATACCTTAGGCTATATTTTAAGGATGCACTTATTTATATTATACTACAAGTGCTTTAGACCCTACAGAAATGGTCACCAAATTTAACAATTAAATATTCAATTTGTAATATCATTTCAGAAGCAAAATGCCACTTTGGATGTTTTTTTTTTTTTTTATAATAATAAATGCATTTGAATTCAAAATTGTTATTCTGTTGGCATTGGATGAAAATTTGGTAGCCGAAATTGTTATCCTTCCTATAATCATGTTTAAAGAACATTAAAGCTGAGCTGTCTTTCATCAACATAAGACATGTTATCTGCAGTGCAACGAGAGTGCACATCAAAGACAACTTAAAACAAACATTAGTTGTGTAATTGAAAAGGACAGTCCTAGAATCTTCACAGACACAAGTTCCCACTTTCATTGTGCAAATCACATTTGCAAACATTCAGTGAATCATCCTGTTGAATCAGTCAGTAAGCAATGATCTATCCACAAACCTAAAATTAAATAGAAATGTGTAAAATATAGTTCAAATGTTAAACAACTTTCTGCCATACACACTTCCGTTATAAGTTTTGGGGTCAGTATTGAAATTCTATTTATTTTTGAAAATCTATTATGCTCATCAAGGCTCCATTTATTTGACAAAAAATATATATCAAAAACTGTAATATTATGAAATATTATTACAATTTAAAATAACAGTTAATTATATATATATATATATATATATATATATATATATAAATATAAACATGCAATTTATTCCTTAATTTTCAACATAATTACTTCAGTCTTCATTGTATCATCTAATTCATCTAAATCATTGTAATCTTCTGATTCACTGTCAAAAAAAGAAAAAAGATTATTATTAATATTATAAATTATAAAAACAGTTGTGCGCTTAGTATTTTTGTTGAAACTGAGATGTTTTTTCAGCACTCTTTGATAAATATAAAGTTCAAAAGAACATCATTTATTTGAAATAAAATTAAATAAATCTGACCTCTTAAGTACACACACACATATATATTTTAAATTTTTAATTAAAAAATTATAATAATGAATTATACAATAAATATATATTCCATTAATATGTTCCTATCCCCACGAAGAATGTAGGATGTCAGTTCTTGTACAAGTACAAATGTCATCTTTCCCGTAAACCAGATAATGGTCAAAATTGTGCAATGTCTCGTAATTTGCTCTCTCTCTGTTTCTGGGAGGGAGGGTATGTTCACACACTGTTCTCTGTTCCAGATTGCGGGGCTGGGGGATTGGACAGTGATGATGGTCAATAATGACTCAATCTGTTGATCAATCAGAAGGGTTCATATGGGATGTGTGAGCAGTGAGAGTCTGTATTCTGCACAAAGAGGCCCGAGATGCAGCTCACACACTCGCTCTTCTGCCTGTTCGTCGTCGTGTCCTCTGCCCTGGTAAGTTTCTTTCTGCCTTTTCTTTCATGCACTTCATTTATTTAAACCCATTTGGATTCTTTTAACAAATAGCACTAATAATTTACTTATTTATGCATTGATCATAATGTATTTGCACACTTAAAGTAGTTTTCCCTCTCTGACTCTTTTTCCAGGCAGAGGACACAGTCGTGAACCCTAGAGGTGCTCGTCCTATTGAACACGGTTACAAGGCACAAGATACCTGTCAGGCAAAAGAATGGCCTATGTGTACAGATGATGACTGGGTATTTATTTATTATTTAAGTCATACATATCGATTGAAGGTTTCCTCAAGCACAGAAAAGTGCAATAAGGCCCAACAACGAGTTAGCTAAAGACCATTTCATTTCTCCAGGGAAGCAAATGTCCATCCGGCTGCCGAATTCAAGGCCTCATGGACAAAGCCGACTACGATATCCTCAAGAAGATCGAGAAGATTCGTAGTCTCCTGGACGAGGGCAAGAAACTTTATCGCACTGCTGATCAAGCGTCCAAAAGCACTTACACTTACCTGAGAGAGCGACTGACCTCTAGCTCCGGTGAGGATTCGCTTTGATTCAATCTTTGATTTTTGGACATTTTTCATAATTAATGCCAAGTTTAAAGATCATTTTTGAAGACAATTCAAATAATGTTTCCTACTTTCACCCAGGTAATGATAACAGGTACGCCTCATTGGCTGATCAGCTGAGACAGAGAATTACTGATATCAAGATTAAAATCGACCGTCAACTCCGGTTACTGGATGCTTTGAAGTCGCAGGTCAAAGATCAAGTTATTGTAATGCAGCGACTTGAGGTGAGAAAAATATTTTAGCAAAATCTATCTATCTATCTATCTATCTATCTATCTATCTATCTATCTATCTATCTATCTATCTATCTATCTATCTATCTATCTATCTATCTATCTATCTATCTATCTATCTAATGAAATCACTTCGAAATCACCTTTGAAATCGCTTTGAAATCACCCTCTTATTTTAACCCGATTTGCTTCAAACTTCATCTGTATAATGTAAATACACAGCCCATTCTCACCCCCAAGGCGTCACTTAACTGACGCCTTGGGAAGCATTTGGACATGCTTCAATATCTGACGCTTTAGGCGCCCTTTAGCGTCAGTTAGATGACGCCCTAGGATCGCGTGTACCCTACCCCCACCCCACACCTAAACCTAACCGCGTCCTCTAGCTGACGCTTTCCTTTAGCGTCAGTTAAATGACGCCGTAGGATCGCGTCATGTAAGTGACGCTAAAGGGCGCCTAAAACGTCAAATATTGAAGCATGGTCAAAGGTGACGCCTTGGGGTGAGAATGCGTTGAAATACACGGCAGATGTAGACCTGTGAATGGATTCTTAATATCTTTGATACTGTTGCCGTGGCAAACTTTACCATTCTTTTAGGATGCTTTTGAGACTCTTAGCATGCTTGAAATTGCATGAAACTCGTCAGACACATCACATTTATTAGCCAGTAGACATGTGCAAAGTTTCAGAAACAGGCGTGGTGAGGGCTCAGTAGCGCCACCTTTTGACAAAAGTTGGGTTGTTAGTTTTATCTACAGTTACAAAAATCTGTTTGTATATTGTACTCCTCAAGCCGGACAACTTTCTAATTTACACTTATTAGCTCGGACCAACAGAAAGTCAGACATATGGTTTTGAATGTGGTCATTCTCTCTCTGAGACGTAGGAATCTATCTACCTATCTATACACTGATTTCTTTATATAACTTACTATTAAAGCACATTCTCCCAATGTGCTCTCTTGGTGCAGGTCGACATCGACATCAAACTACGCACATGCAAGGGCTCTTGCGCCAGCTACAGTGAGTTCACGGTGGACAAGGAGAGCTACGTGTCTCTGGACAAGCAAATGGACCATCTGGATGCTCTCCGCGTCCAGAGTGTGGAGACAGTCAGTTCCCTGGGAATCATGAAGAGCAGGCCGTTGAAGGATGTGGTGTTACCCTCTATATACAAAAGCGGAAAGGGTACGGCCGAGCAGAAGCAGCTCCTCTTCGGGGACGTGGGTCAGATGCAGCTCACTCTGGAGGCGGAAGGTTCCACTGCCGAATCTGCAGCAACTGTTAGCAAGTTCCCCACACCAGGTACGGGCTCAACTTCCTCCTCCTCCTCTTCCACCTCCACCGTCAAGCAGTGCACCAAGACAGTGCGCAAAGTGGTAACACACACCAAAGACGGCCCCGTGGAGAAGACTGAGGTTACGTCTAGCGGGCCCGGGTGTGACGATTTAGTAAAGCTAGGAGGTTCTGATTCCGAAAAATCCATCACTTCTCTCACTCACGGCACCAGTGATCTAGGGGGCTTCGGTGAAGACTTCTTCAAGGGGCTTGGCACTAACACCCAAAAGTTATCCTCTTCTTCAACCTCCACAAAAACAGTCGTGTCAGATGGAACCAAAAGTTTCTCAAAGACCACCCTCTCTAGCGACCCATTTTTTGATGGGGATGACTTCGGGGCGTTTATGCGTGGTGATGTTGAAGAGGATCTGCCCGACATCCACGCGCGAAGTTTGAAATCGAAGGACGAGCGCAAGGATGGCTTTGTTGGTGGAGGTACACTTGAGTGAAACTCTTAACTCAAGCAACATACACAAGTGAACCATTAGCAAATTAAATTCTCTTGATAATACTGACAATATCAGCAAGAGTTTGGAAACATGTGAATGTACTAAACTGATATCCAAGTAATTTCAAACAACATGTCACATTTAATTGCACTCAGATGCACCCATCCAGAAACGATGTAAATTCCATATTAGTTCCGAAATTAATGAAGCGAATTTGCAATGCAGCTTTGCTCTAATCAGCGGGTGTGTAATCTTCTTTCAGATTGCGTTGAAATCCAGCAGAAGCATGTTAACGGCGGTCAGAGCGGCCTGTTCAAAATAAAGCTGGCTGGGTCGGAGGAGGTAGTAGAGGTTTACTGTGACCAGGACACTGGGATGGGGGGATGGGCTCTGGTTCAGCAGCGGGAGGATGGGTCTGTTAACTTCAATCGCACTTGGAAGGAGTATCGAAATGGTTTTGGGCAGGTAGACCAACAGGGTAAGGGAGAGGTCTGGATCGGCAACATCTTTCTACACCTTCTCACTCAGAAAGACAGTCTTCTGAGAGTTGAGCTGCAGGACTGGCAAGGGAACGAGGTGTATGCCGAGTACAGTTTTAGAGTTGGCTCGGAGGCAGATGGGTTCCCATTGACCGTGTCCCAGTACACGGGGGACGCAGGTGATGCGTTAGTGGACGGGCAGCCTAAGCTCGGATCCTTCCTTTCACATGCCGGCATGAAGTTTAGCACCTTTGATAGGGACAACGATAAGTGGGAGGAGAACTGTGCGGAGATGTATGGTGGCGGGTGGTGGTACAATAACTGCCGGTCAGCCAATCTCAATGGGATTTACTATAAAGGAGGCCAGTACGACCCCAACACCAAAGTCCCTTATGAGATTGAGAATGGCGTCGTGTGGCTGCTTTTCAAACCAGCTGATTACTCTCTCAAAGTAGTGAGAATGAAGGTCAGACCTGTCTGAAAAGAGAAAAAGAGGGGATTTGGGGTGGGGGGAGACAGATAGCCATTGCTTTGAAGGATCAGTACCAATAAACTGCTTGTCATAATGTAAAGCTGTAATGTTGCCATGTATATTTTTATACAACCATCATACCTCATGTTTCCAATAAAAATGTGTTCACTTTAAGTTTTGGGCTGTTTGTGTGTGTGTTTTCATTTTTTTATTTCAAAATATCTGCTTTAAGAATATTTTTCTGGAAATAGACACCTTACAGTTAAGTCTTAACCACAAAAAAAGACCACATAATCATGGTTTCTTTAACGTTTCAATAAATAAAGCTTATTTTAGTATGTCTCAAAAATCAGACCTTTGTCACTGGGGCAGTACCCTCAAAAGGACATCTTTGTACATTATTTACCTCTAAAAGTTTCACAGTACACTGTTTTAATAGGTTAAGGTACTAATATGCACCTTTTGAGTGACAAATTGTTGTATCAGTTGTATGGCAGTGTATCCTAAAGATCATATTATCATCTTGACCACAGTTAATAATTAAAACTCATTTACCTTTAATATTCAGTATTTAAGATAGTCGTCTGTGCCCTACTGGTTTAGATACAAGTTATTTTATTTATTTTAAACTTTATAAGGTGGTTTCACATCAAGATTAGAACAAACAATGAGCCTACAACATTATATCCTATTAATGAAAACGAAATGTTCAAAATTATCCACCATCACCCATCTGACAACAAACAAAGTGTAATGCAAGTGTGTTTGGTTTTGTTGCAGTGTGTACAACCTTGAAATCCAGTCGCAAACAACATAATCACTCTGGTTTCAGCAAATTTGGACAGTGTCCAGCATGGTCAACACACCCTTTGTGCTCTGATGAGGAGAGGGTGAGTGATTTTGGAGAATCACACTCTTAAAAAAAAAGTTCTTCTATGGCATCACTGTGAAAACCCTGTTTTGGAAACTTTATTGTTCAGAGTGCAGATCACTTATCTTCAAAGTGTTTTTAGTAGATTAATTAATAAGTAAATTAGTAACAAATCATGAATTAAACAATCAGATATTATATTGCACATCACAAACCACTATGAAATAATAAAAGTGCTTTCATTAACTAAGAAAATACTGAGATAAATTCTAGATTAAGAGAAATTGTTATTGCACAATTGTTGGAATTAGTTAGTACTGGAAAGTTTTTGTGATTTTCTTTCTTTTGCAGGAGGATAAATGTCCATCTGGATGTCAACTGGAGGGTCTTATAAATTTGACAGATGAAGACATTCATAAACGATTGAGAAATATTTGTGGAAGCATTCATCAACATCAGGACATCACCTCATCAGTAATGCAAATGAGTGTCCAGCTTTATGGGTCACAAAGAAAAGCTTTCATCCAAACATATAGTATGTTAAATGTTCTGGTTCTTTTCATATATCTTTGTGTTTTGTGTAAAAAAAAAGAAAGAAAAAAAGATAAAAATAGAAAGATACCTGAAGCACCATTTGGAGTTGCTTAGATTGCAACACAAGAAGGAATCCTCAAGAAAAGCACATCCTTTTCAAGTTGCCATAATTTATTTCTGTTCTCACAGTTTTAATATATTTCAAGTGTCTTCTAAAGAGGTCACTGGAGGAATCATTGACTAGAACTAATAGCTTCCATCCATGTTCCTCTGAGAATTATCTTTTTGAAAAGGCTATCTCCAGAGGATTCTGCCAATGTGCCGAGCAGAAGAGTACAATATTCATTTCAAGAACCTACAGTAGATGTCGGAGTATTAGGCTACTCAGAAAGCCCCTTCGACAAAACATAACAAAAATAGGAAAAATCTGTTGTATTATCATTTTCAGTCATTTACAAAAGGCTGAGGAGGTCTGATGGTTTTCTCCATGTGCAGTGCAGGAGCTCAGATATGCTGAGTTTGCAGAAGAACTTCATAGAAACCTAACATTCCTGCACACGAGGTCTACAGAACTTGCAGAAGACTTATGGAAGCATCATCACATGATCCGGGATCAGATCAATGAAATTCGTCGAACTGAGGTAAGATATTTATATTTAAGATATAAGTTTTTTATTTTTTTTTTATTTTAGCTGTTCACAGCCTTTGTACACCATGGTGCAGTCAAAGTCATACTGAACATTCAAATAACATAAATATCTCTCAGAGGAAAATTACAGCCTGGGGAATTTATTAAAGCCTCTTCAACACTGCAGGGTTTTTGTTTTGTTTTTTTACTGGAAGGTCATTGAGTAAATTCAGGTTCACATAATCAATATATTTGATCAAATGTTCTGCAAAAACGTGTGAGTCAGGTATTTCACTATTTGCTTGAAGGTTGAAATGTAACTTTTGCCCTGATTCAGACTTTGTTTTGTGTAATTCTTTGGAGTGAAGGTGGACATTGACATCAAAATCCGTGCGTGCAAAGGATCATGCAAGCAAACCTTTGACCATGCCGTTGATAACGAAGTATTCAAAGCTATGGAGATCAAAATGGCGCAGTTCAGCGTGATCTCGAAGAGGCGGAAATCATTCGCCAAAGTCAAAAAACTAAAACTTCAGTCTGCTGATAGGCCCGCCGTGTCCCCCACTTACCGTAAGATTCCCATTGTTCGCGCCGAGCTTCTCACAAAGTTTGAAGACATTGGGCAGCATCAGGTGGTTTTAGATGAACTCCTTGAAAATTATTAATCATATTTATGTCTAGATTAGTAAGATGAGGGATTGTTTTTATAACGCGATATGGTTTGGTAATGTGAATACGAGCTATTTGCTACATATTTATGTAAAGATCACGTGTGCCATTTATTTTGCCAATATCACCTTAACAGTTTCATGTTTTTATTTTATATCGAACTTATGTCAAAAATTCCTGGTGTTAGAAAATATTTTGTTCCTATAACAGCAGAAAAAAAAGACTAAAACAGCTGTGCCTTAGCAAGAAGCAAATGTGAATGAGATACAGTAGTAATGTATAAATGCCATTTCACAAATATACCTCATTAAAATCTTTTTAATGTGCCAATAAAACATCATTTTTCATAAGGCCTATGTGTGTAGGTGTTTGGCCTCATTTTTTTCGTCTTTTCTTAGTGAAGTAATGTTTATTAACCCTCCTATTATCTTTGGGGTCAATTTAACCCCAACATCTGTAAATATTTATTTATTTATTTTTTGCTTCAGATTTAATGACTTTTCTGAATTTAATGGGGACAACTCTGTAAACATAAAATTAACCTGCTGATATTTTTTCAATGTCCAGTACACATTTTGTAGCATCAGTGTTCCTTGGGGTCACTTTGACCAGGCTCTTTTAGTTGTATAACAAAACAGAAAAAATATTACCATTTTGTTTTGGTTGTTTTATTGAGGTCACTATGTTATAATTTTATTTTATAATGTTCATTATAATTTTACATCCTTTGTTTTAGGGCTCTAAAACAAAAGATGTCTGGATGTCAACTTAAGAAGTCAACAAAGACATAAATTACCTGAGACAAACCTTAGTAAAAAAAAAAAAAAAAAAAAAAAAAAAAAAAAAAATCATATTGTGGAGGTTTAAATTACTGGGGTCAAATTGACCCCAGTAGGTATAAATGTTATCAGATTTCAGGGTAACAGGAGGGTTAACAATATTTCAACCAAACAATTTTGCCCCTAATAATTGGTTGGCAAAGACACAACAGGTAATAAGCATGCTGGGGATGTAACATGCGACATGTGAAGTCATTTCCAGTTATGTCAATTAATTTTTTTTTGTTATTTATTTGTGTATGCGGATATACACTACGTGTTTGTACCTTATTTACCCCTAAAGGGTGCATTTAGTACCTTAAATGTACATAATAGTGCTTCAATGGTACATATTAGTACCCTTTGGGTACTTTATTGTTTTGTTTTTTTGTTTATTATTATTTAAAAAATGTCTACATTGTCATTTCTATCACAGAATAGAAAAAACAAAACAACTAATTCTCCCATGATGCATGTATATACACTTTTAAAAATTATTAGTAGACAAATTAAATAAACTTGTGAGAGTCTGAAAAGGGTTTTAATACAAATTATTTTCGAAAAATCCATTGTCAAAAGTACTAATAAAGTGCCAAAGAAACAACTGCATCATATTCAGTCATTTTGAATATGCCTGAATTTATTGCTATTGCAGCATCATACATCTCATACCAAACTGATACTGTTGCTCCATAAGAACATAAAAAAAAACATAAATAGTGAAGACACTTCGTTTAATGTATTTTAGGTCAGCTTTAATGAGAATTAGGATGATTGTGTATCCATCTTGTTACACTGTTTTGCATATATTCCTTTTTAAAAACTTCCAATAACACAGTTCCGAAGTTCGCAAATACAAATAATAGCTAAAAATTTAGGTTCAGGTTTTATTATCTTCCTATTTCAAAAAAAAAGGAGTTGCATTGGACGAGAATGTACACAAGAATGGACACACAGTATCTCATTTCAATTCACTTTTATCATGATTTGAAGTAAGGTCTGATCTTCATGCTGATAGATTTGAGCGAATACCATGAGCCCTTCCAGTTCATCCACACTATGCCATCATCTGTCCCATGCTTGGCCATGTATTTCGTATAAGCTCCACCCCTGTAGTATCGCCCATTAGGATTACAAGAGTGGCATCTGTTGTACCACCATCCGCCTCCATCTTCCTTTGAACACTGCTTAGAAGGATCTCCTGGTATCCTGTTGGACACAATTGGAGACAGAAAAAACATCGGATATTGAAGTTTTTTCATGCAGCCATCATTAGGATAAACAACGTGTACCATACGAACCATTTGTCATTATCTCTGTCATAGGTGCTGAACATCATGCCATTATGGATGGTCATGGTACGGTTTTCTCCAAACAGTTCTGTTGCGCCATCTAAGAACGTGTTTCCAGCTGTTCCTGAGTAACGACCAACCGCTAGGATGTAGTTGGTGGCTTCGCCCTGAACAGTGAACTGCTCGTACTGAGCGTAGACCTTTGAACCGGACCAATCTTCCATTTCAACCAGAAGCTCGGTGGGACCCATCTTTGTAAGCTGACTAATACGCTCGTTACCCAACCAGTACTCGCCTAAAACAGTCCACAACAAGTTCATTAGAGAAGGAGATGAGATGGTGAATCAGTGGATGTAACATTGATATTGAGAACCTTGTTGGAAAGACCAGTGTTTAGAACTGCTATTCTGGTACAGCAGGCTGGTTTATATCACTCTAAAAATGCTGGGTTGTATTGGGTTACATTTTTAAATTACATTTTTAACCTAATGTTTGAGTTTGTCCATATTTGACCCAAAATTGGATTAAAACAACCCAGCATTTTTATACCGGTGATTAAATGCTGTTTTAAACCAGGTTTTTGTTTTTTGTTGTTGGCAATACTGGTTGAACATGTAAGCTTGCTGGTTTAGCTAAGAAGCCTAGTAGGGGAAACCAGCACAACAAAACACAACATCTTGGTCTTTTCTGCAGGGTCTAACCACACAATATGCAATGCTAGTCAATGGTTTTGCCTATTATTTGTTAGCCATAGCTTACCAGGAGTCTGGCAGTGGCCTTTGCCCACATCAAATGCAATGTTTCCAAAACCTCTTCGGTAGTCGTCCCAGCGCCTGCCAAAATCAACACTGCCGTCCATTCGGTTCTGGATGACCACCCAACCTTTGGAATAATAGAGAAGTTTATGATGATGGTTGCATCATTGGAAAAACATCCCTCTATCTACATTTTTTACAAAACTCCAAAACTATACGATTTCCACCTGAAATGACCATTAGTGGCGGTATGACACCAACAACACACAAATTATGATTACAGGAGCAGATTATTGATTATGAACGATTTATTTTAGTAAACTTGCTCAGTAGCGCACCTCATACAATGCACTTGAAGTTGAATCCCAAAAACATCAATCGCAATAAAAGAGCTAAAAACTGATAGAATCAAGCTAAAATGGCATGGCTGCTATATTATATCACATTTGTTTTTGTTACCATTACCGGTTGGGATTATGGTGGTGTTTATAGACACAACATTATTTTCAAAGGCATTAGTGCATTAACCTTTTAGCAGTACTCATTAGATATTTAATATCCTAACTGCTTAAATACAACAGGTAACATAAAACGTTCCCAGATTCACATTCATTTGTTTCAGATAAAACTGAAATCACTTTTAGTGCCACTCACGTCACAGGACATTTCACATTGAAAGTATTCCATAACTTTCAAGCAACGTAATATCATTTTGCAGAAATGTCGCCACAGGCACGTTTGTCCAATGAACATGATTTTGAGATCCTGAATTACATTAGGGGTTCGTTTAAATGAAGTCGACATACCTCCTTTTTGACTCGTCTGATCGCAGAAGACCTTGTAGGGTGTACCGAGCGGATCAGGCCGTATGAGGTACATCTGTGAGTCCTCTCCTCCTTTGCGGATAATGTCCTCACACTCCTTGCCGGAAACCACAGGAATCGGGCAGCTGACTTTACAAGGCGCTTGGCACTTGGCTCTCTGAGTAGTGATGGCTTTCTCCAAACGCTGAATCTTCTCACGGACCTTCTCCAGCACAGCCTGTAGGATTTTGATATTCTGGGGGAAGGTGACGTCCACAGCCTCCTTAACATAAGCATGCTGTGTCTCTAGACTTTCTGTGTACTGATCAACCACCAAACCATTGCCTATGAGAGAACACAAAGAGGGGGATGCTTAATAATTGAGAATGTCTTTTAAAAACAATAATGAGTTGATATTTTTATTTATTTGGCAGATGCCTTATTGCCTTCTTATTGACTTACACAATGTATATTTGATCAAAATGTGTTCCCTGGTACTCAAACTCAGGGAATAACACAGCTGAGCTATAGGAAAGCTAATCAAAATCATCCTTGTCTGATCACAATAAACTAGGTTCTCAACTCTGACCCACAAGGTCCAGCTCAACCTTGATCAAACTCGAACATAGATATCCATAATACAGGCTAGATGTCTCGTACGCGCTGCTGGCCAATGGAGGTCAACGTCCGCACCTGGCGGCCATCTTGTCACAGGCAGTTCGCTCACGCGTAACAATGTTTTTTAATGATGGATGTACTTTTTAAATAACCATAACTTGCTCAATTTTATATCGATTTTCAAACGGGTTGCTTTGTTCTAAACGTCAGAGATGTAGTTATGACACTGCATACTTATGAATAATACGTTTATAAATAAATAATCATCCAGAATTATAGGCACGTTAATAACGTTTGTAAGAAACCAAACCGTTTGTAAATCCGTCAAGATTTCAACGAGATAAGAGTATTTGTGTTCGTGCTGATCACTCATCTTACATCAGCTTGCCTGTGACAAGATGGCCGCCGTGATGACGTTAGAGACTTTCGACATCTAGCCTTTATTATGGATATCTATGATCCCGAAGACCCTGATTAGCTTGTTCAGGTGTGTTGGTTTAGAGTTGGAGCAAAACTCTGCAGGAAAATGGACCTCGAGGACCGGAGTTGAAAAACCCTGGGCTAATATTTTGAAGAATACCTCTAAAGGAAGTATAGTATAGTTACCCTCGCTGACTCGTTGTCTTTGTGCTACTTCTGCAGTCATATCCATGACGTAGCCATAGATAGAGTTGGTGGACTGGGTCAACTCATCCACAGATCGTTTCAGCTGATCTACAGTTGGCTTCACGTTACGTTCTTGCTTTAGGAGGGTTTTCTTCAGCTCACAACCTGTGGGACACAACACTCCCTGAAGAGAGAGAGAGAGAGAGAGAGAGAGAGAGAGAGAGAGGGGGAAAAACTAATTTAATTTTGGTTTGTGTGGTATTTACTTAAATTAGGGCCATAACCCCCATTAACAGTCATATTCAGATTAATGGATTAATGGTTGAGCAAATGGGTTTTCAATGGGAGATAACATGTTATTAAGATTATTCATAGACCTCACTTAAAATTTTGTTATCTTATCCTAAAATATCAGAACTTAGTGCTTGAATGGGTTATGTTGCCCATCTAAATACATACTACACAAATCAAAGCATATTGGCACTCTGACCATTTTCTCAGACATGTGGGAACATCCACCCGATTCTGGGTACTCTTCCTTCTCTTGCGTAACTTTCCCCACCGGCGCTGCAGTTGGTCGTCCACGATAACGGCTTCCCCCACTGACGGGGGGTGGGGCTGCAGGGCCTGAGGAGTACGTCTCACGACCTCTACTGACAGGACGATGACCCCTGGGATCTACGGTTGCTTTAAGCTAAATTCAGAACAATCCATCAAAAAATGTCACTGCATTTTTTTTTGTAATTGTTTGCACATTCAATTTGATTTTAGGTCATATGTACTTCAAAATGTGATCTGTACACACACACACACACACACATATATATATATATACTGTATGGTTCTATATTTGACAAGTTTTTAAAAAATGTAATACAATTTCAATCAACCATAACTGTGTATCTATGGGTATTTATATGGGTATTATTTTATTAATCATATTTTCTGTATTATTTATCCAGATTTGAATTGACTATTTATTAATATTTTGAGTTTTAAAAAGGACTTACCTCTTTTTTTCCTTCCTGAAGCAAAACGGCAAATAAAAACAAGACAATAATTACTACATTATCAACATTTTATATAAAAGTTCTATTAAATATTATAATGTTATTAATATTTACCGCTCCATAATCATCATAATCATCTTGTGCGAGAGTTCCAACAACACACAGGAAAAGTAATAAGAGAAGCTTCATTTTGTTAGAGCTCACACTTCAGTTCCAGCAACAGTGTGAGGTTCTCAGCTGTAGATAATTCAGCGCTGCTCTCCCAGAATTTATACCATACGCCCCCCTGCATTGAAACAGGAGGGACTGCAGTGCTGGTTAATCTTTAATTCTTGATGTGCCGCTTTTGGTAATCAGTTCAGGGATGGCATCATTTTGGGGAAATGAAGAAATTATGTGAACAAAGCAATAATAAATAATCATGAAGCAATCAAGTAATTGGCTACGTATATTCAAATGAATTTCACTACCAAATTATACCCATAAACAGTTGGTATGTTATGTGGCTGATAATATTGAATGTAAAAAAGTTATTTACAAGTAGAGATTTTGGAATAGAAGGCATATTTTAATGTAACTGCCCACTAGGCTACTACATTAGTTGCTAAACAACAACAACATATTTATTACATGTGAATTGTTCAAACTGCAAAAATAAAATGAAACATTTTTAGTAAAATGACTAATCCTCAATAGTAATCTATGATGGACCTGTGATTAACATTAAACGGGAAATCTCCAATTGACACACGCTCAATCATTTGAAATGTTTCTGTATGTTCTATTAAATCTGCATTACTCAGCAAGTAAACTATTGCTGTTTGTTTGGTTAGTGTGATTTGTTGTGCCATATCTTCTTCAACCACCCACATCTCCAACTTTGACTCATAGCCTAACAGACATGACAAACAGACACTTTGTACTCAGTGTGTAGTTATTTAACACTTTAAGGCTCTCAATAACTTCTATCATTGTAAAAAAAATACTGATAGCTTTTATTAAGCAATTAAGTGTAAATGATAATTAATTCTCAAATCTTACTGAATTACAAATGATTTAGGCTATAGGGCTGTGTCATTGGTTATAGCTCAAATTTTTTTTTGGTTAGTTCACCCAAAAATGAAAATTCTCAGTATTGACTCACCCTCATGTTGTTCCAAACCTCTATGTGCTTATTTGTTCTGCTGAACACAAAGGAAGATATTTGGAAGAATGTCAAACAGATCTCATTCCCCATTGACTACCATAGTAGGCCTATGTATTTTTTCCTACTATGGTAGTCAATGGGAAATGATCTGTTTGATTAAAACATTCTTCCACAACAATCTACAACAAATGTATAGAAATAAGACTAGTTTAAACTAACTGATATTTTATCATTTCTAGAGAATATGGCCAATCCCGCATTAGTGTCATGATTTGTGTGCGTGAGTGTTGCTCCTGCGCAGATCTGTGCCAGCAAGCCGTCATGAGCACATTAGGCAGTCGGTTCTTTTGAACGGTTCACTTCAAAGATCCGGTTAAAAACTATTAAAATATTATAAAGCATACAGAATTAAATCTCGTGCTCCTAAATTCCCTCTGTGAAATAACGTTTCAATAAAATAAAATAAAACGTAATAATATCTAAACCATAAAGGCCTAATAAAATTAATCTGTGCAACCTAGGCTATCTGAAATAATTTGTGCACATTTTAATAGGACCTGCTTCGTCAAAAGCATAGACTTTAAAGAGACGGTTCGGGAATCGTGTTCAAACAAATGAGTCGGGCGAATACCGCTCGGGACAATTGACAATTTTCAAAAGATTCATTGAAGAGATTCGACTCACCAGAATGATTCATTTGACTGGAACACGAGCATGATGGTGTCTGCCGGTAGAAACGGGGCCATTAATAGATGACTGGAATCTAGAGCGATATTAATAATGGCTGACCTGCAACCCCAGGTACCGTATTTAGTATTTCATATATAGATTGTCCTCAGACAACTAAAACCGGTGATGTTTCGCCTTGATATTTTGGTATATAGACTAACTGTCGTGTACACTGTCAGCGACGCGGCGGCTAGCTAACAGTTAGTAACGTTAACGTCAACGTTAACCTGCTATTATGAACGAATCTGTTTACATGATCAACACGCTCGCGTGCAGTGTAGATAGATCCGTTGATTATAATGGGAGGTTTTGTTTAGTTTGTTCAGCAAACTTGGTGTATGCGAGTAAAATGCCTTTAAAACGTAACGTGGCAGGAACATCCGTTTGTGGATTATATTGCAAACATATGGTTATGATAATGATATTCATGGTGATACTTACTGTAATAAGAGATCCATTGCCTGCATGTTTTATTAAAAGTGAATCACTGGGTAGTGAGAAGGATAAATCACAACCTGCAAGTGGACATGTCTGAGTTGTGAGTAAATGCAAGCCAGTTTGACCCTTTTTTTGTACATTGAGAGCTATGTTATGAAGATTTGGGGTTTGAAAGGCACTGTTGTATGATCAGTAGTTTGTATAAATGTCCAGCTAACTGCAAGAGATACAAAAGCTCTCTTCTAGTCAGCTGACTGTAGTCAACTGAGATGTGTGGACAAGCATGGCCATGTTTATGCTAGCATCAGATTATATGCACTCTAGATGGGTAGTTATAGGTACAAATGTGAATGTATAAAGGAATCGGTACTTTTTTTTTTTTTGGGTGATTCACTTAAATTGGCATTTTAAAATGTAGACTTTTGAATTATTATTACATCTCGTGAACAGGGGTGGATTTAGGCTAATGATTTGGGGGCCCTAAGCAAATTCCAGGTAAGGGTCCCCACACTGGCTGTGTGCTCTTTTACATGTGTAACCCTTATTTTGCTGTCTCTCTTTCAATCATAGTTTGTAGTTTAAGTAACACTTTACCTGATGTGGTTCCTAAGCCATTTTACCCTATAACAAAATAAGAAATTACAACAACAACAAAAACACACAAAAATATTTGAGAAATCAAGATGAAACGCAAGGCCTGTCTGTAAATGCTTTCTTCTCTCTGGTGAATACCTCTGTTGTAAGACAGTTAGACAGTGTTGTGCCAAATTCTGTGACCCACCGATCATGTGACCGGTACACACAATTTAGTGATGGTAGGATTAGAATTGGGATTAGGATTAGCTCTTTACAGCACCTACTACAGTTACATAATTCGGTGGGTCAAGAATCTCCATAACACAAATACACACTTGAACTTTGACAAATATGATTTGCCAATATCTGGTGGGGACTGATATGTCCGATTATGTCCGCCCCTGCTCTCGAATACTTCATTCTGATTGGCCATTTTCTGCATTCTAGTGTGAAATATTTTCAAGGGATTAAAACAAAAGTCCCATGATGCATTGCCAATTACACAATCTAATTAAATATGATGGGGATATATAAAACTTCTGATTTAATAAAAATGTTGAAGGAAAATAGGCCTATATAGGCTTTTATATTTAATTACAAATACGATAGCCTATATATGCATTCATAAATAAATCTAAAAATGTAAGTTGTTTAAGTAGTAGCTTAGGGAAACACACTACATTCACAGTGCTTCATGGGAGTTGGGTGGGTGCTAAATTGTTCTTTTGACATTTGCTTGTTATGATTCTCTGATTGGTGGAGATTTCTTCACAGAATCATGGGTAATGTAGTTTTTTCACCAGAAAGTCTGCTGTTAAACATGATTATCAAAAATAAGTTATAATGGAGGTTGGTGCCTTCAACAAAAGCATTTACTATTGATTAACGACCTTGTAGCTCACACAGTAGGTCTGTCTTTAACTATTTAAAAGTAGACTAATTGTTAAAAATCAATTCCCCCATGAAGAAAATGAATGGGATTTCTACTTCTGAAACTTCTACTTTTTTCTACTTCTAGAAAAGTTCTGACTGGTCAATCGCATTTATTGTAACCGAAATCAACACATCAGGCAAAATAAATCCAGTCCAGTGGCCTTGTACTGACTTGAAGGGTCATATACAAACTAGTACACAATAATTATAAAAGGATAGAAGATGCATTTCAGTGTTGTTTTTATGAAGCAAGCCATTTACCTAAACATGTTATTTTTGTATTTTCTAAATCCAGTTCTTTCTTCACAGGACGATCTTTTGAAAATGTCCAACAGGGAATCGTGGAAGTAAGTAGTCATGAGCAATCTTTTTTATGTGGTTGTTAGTTGTTGCTTAGAATAATCATGTATTTTTTTTTTAATGTTAAGAATAATAAGAAAGTGAAACTTTTCTAAACTGTTACATGCTGTCTTTTTTAGTGCCTTATGATTGTCACCATTTATGTAAAAATAGTTCCTGGAGCACGTGTGTCATTGTTATAAGTGAACGCTGGCAATGTCGTGCAAGTGGCCTCAGTAGGTCTGGCCTCGTGTATGATCCTGCAAAAACGAACCTCTTTCACAACCTAGATTTCTTTATCATTAGCTTCTAGTTTTGAAATCAGTGCATATAGAAGTGTTGATCTATGTCTTTGCCTTCATGGCATAACGATTCTCCGATTATTTATGACTTGTCTGTACGCTTATGTGTGTGTATCTCCAGGATGCAGCACGAGAGGTTGCACGTGAAGCATCGAGGTCATGAGGCCATGCATGCCGAGATGGTTCTGATTCTCATCGCCACGCTAGTGGTTGCTCAGATTGTCCTGGTTCAGTGGAAACAAAGACACGGCAGATCCTACAATGTGAGTAGTACCTACGTTTACATGGACTCCTTTCGTTTCAATCTGAACTAATTTGTTCCAATTGATGTAGTGTTTACATGAATGCTAAATAAAGCCATGAGGTTGATGTGTGCGTTTATACCAAATATCACCATGTTAACAAATATGACATTGATTTTATACAAGAATAATAAACTAAGTTAATAGTGACTTACATTTTAGACTCCATATTGCCTGTTTTCGCTCTATTTCACCGTGAAAATAGTTCAAAACAAAGACAAAGGCTGTGTTTCCTTACCGAGTGAATCAGCTTTTTGAACGAATCAGTTGACTAGGACAGATTAAGATAGTCAAATGCTTCTTTCCTTGAATGAATCAGCCGTTTGAATGATTCGGTTGAATCTCAATGATTCACTCATTAACAGTGACTTGCTGCCACCTACTGGCGGTTTCAATTTCACATTTAAAGGCAGAGTAGGCAGGTTTTTTCTAAAAAAAACTTGTTCCCAAATTTGTTTGAGCTGTCTTTATATACCAATACATAATTAGAATGTAAGTACTCTGAAAAGGAGAGTATAAAAATCAAGTGTCTGTAGTAGTGATGCATCGATGTGAAAATTTGTGGCCGATACCGATAACCTGACAACTTACGGCAAATTTAGATTTGCTCTGAAAGTTAGTCTGGCAAAGAGCTTATTCAAACCCATTTCCGGTCCGCAGAAATCGCTGTATAACCGATATACCGATATAACCGAAATACCGATAACCGATATTAATATTGCTTTTATGGCCGATACCGATATTTACCGATGTCGATATCTCTGTATAGAAAACACATAGGGAGGATTGCGATATTTGATTTTTCGGCCCTATTTTGACATCGGAACGATACCAATGTGTAAAAAATGTACCATATCGGCCGATATTATATCGGCGGCCGATATATCGGGCACCACTAGTCTGTAGTCCTTTCAGGGCTGCAATAAACAATTGAAACATATTGGAACAAATGATTTCTGTCACTGCTGTGAACTGACCACCACACAGAGTATGAAGAACATATGTTGGCGGTCTAAACCTGCCAAAGTACCAACACAATAAGCACACTCAGCAAAACATCGTCTAATAATCGTTATCGGGAAAATCCCAGAAAATATCAGGATATAATTTTTTGTCAATGTCGCACACCCTTACTTCCTGCGCCCAAAACAAAGTGTCTGTGGATGAGAGTCCCATGGATGAGAGTTGAAACGACAGTCATTTACGATTTCTTTCAACGGCTCATTTCACCATTATGCCATTTGTAAGTCATTGTGTATGTGTAGTACTTTCCCCTCAACAGTTTGTTTTCAATCCAATCAAGTGTTTATAGGTCCTCTTGATTGGATTAGAAAAGGTTTAAAGCACAATCCGAATGGGATTTTAATCGGATTTGGCCAATTCTCAAGTAGTCTGATCAAAATCTGATGTTTAGGGTCCATGTGCACAAATAAAGCTCCGTAATAAAGTAGTTAATGAATATTGTTAATATTGTTTGTCTTGTAGATGGTCACACTATTGCAGATGTGGGTGGTTCCTCTGTACTTCACCATTAAGCTTTATTGGTGGCGTTTCCTGTCCACGTGGGGCATGTTCTCCGTCATCACAAGCTATGTCATATTCAGAGCCACACGCAAGCCTCTCTCCTGCAGAACGCCACGGTAATGCTTGAAATACTTTCAGTTTGTCATCATTTACTTTCCTGTATGTTTTTCCACACTGTTCTGTAGGTTTTTATCTTCTGTTAGTCTTTAAAAGAAAAGTTTTGAGGAATATTCACACTTTTCTATACAATGGAAGTATATTATAATCAAAGATTTGTTAAGCAAATAAGGACTTGTCTTTGGGTTACAAAATTTCTTATATGGGTTCCATAGCAAATAGAAAGTTCATTATTTTCATTATTGAATTTTCATTTTTGGATGATTATTTCTTTTAAATAAGCTAAAAGAGCAGCAGGATGACTTAGTATTTGAAGTATTTATATTATTAATGTAAATTAAATACTAAAAACTGTATTTCTTTTTATTTTCCATTAACAACTTTTATTTTAAATCAAGAAAATGCAGTTCTTGAATAAAGAACGTAACTTCTTGAATCACAAAATGAATCATAGTTCATTCATTTAATATATAGAATGAATTAACAATATTAATTAAATATATTAATCAGCAGTTTGTCAATTACAGCACAGATATCATGTGTATGCACTATGCAGCCTCGGATACTGTATTGCGTTGGAAACCGAAGGGCCTTCATTTTCAAAATCACTGCTTTACATATAATTGTCTCATATAAAAAAGCAGCAGCTATGCGAGTTTTATGAGTGCCATATACAAAGTGTAGAATGTGTTGCCTGTGCCTTGTTCTATAAAATATGAACTTAAAGCCTTTCACTTCTGCAGGATGGTGTATAAGTGGTTCCTCCTCATTTACAAGCTGAGCTACGCTGTGGGTGTTATAGGATATCTCGCCATCATGTTTACCATGTTTGGATTCAACGTTTTTTTCAGGTATGTAACATTGAAAACATAGACGTATTTGATCACAAATGAAACAGTGCCTTCATTCAGATCCTAAAATCTTAAGCACAGGGATCCTGTTTGAATAGTGAGTCAGCAGTTAGTTCGCCCCCTGTTCATTGTTTCCATGGCAATGCTGACACAATGGCGTTCTGATTAGAAGGAATTACTCCCTTTAGCCTTATTCGGACGGCACTAAGTTTCCAGGGGGATGTTAGAGAAATTTGTGTTTCACAGACAAACTTTGCGATTTTTAATCCCACCAGAATCTGCCAAGTCTGAGGTTTTCCTCACACGACCTCTGTAAAAATTCCAGGGCAAATGACCTGCTGTTTTCCACAAACTCAACAGTTCTCTGGGAAATATAATCCGGTCTGAAAGTCTATGATGGCCAATATTGTATGATCCTCCTAATCTGCTTCTCCTCGTGTTTTTTGTGGATTGTGGAGAAAATGAATGCTCTACTAGAGTTACCTGGAAAAGTTTTTTTTATTTGAATGGATACATCCGTGCCATGAGATGTTTCAAAAATAGTGGGGACACAATCGACCCTGGCAAAAAGTGTTGGGGACAACATGTCCTCAACCTGTCCCAACCGCAAATTACGCCTATGTGTTCCAGAATATATATATATATATATATATATATATATATATATCTTTGGTTAGTCATGGGTTGTGTATGCAATTTAAAAATCTTTAAAATGCCATTAAAAAGGCATTACATTTAATTTGAATATACCTGCAGAAACCCTGTATAATGAATTAAAATTATATCAATAAATAATACATTTATTATCATCATATGTGATCCATGAAAGATCAGCAGATGAGCTTCTGTAATGCCCACATCTTGAAAGCACATACTCCCATCTCTCTAAGAAACACGGAGATGTTTGTCCCGTCCGAATCGATACATGAAATCACATACGTCGAATGATAAGAACTGTAATTCTGTATTCAAGAACTGTGATACAGAACGTAACTTCTTGAATCACAAAATGAATCATAGTTCATTAAGAACTGCAATTCAAATGTAGTTTAGAAAACTTGTCCCGTCCAAAAAAGGTATTGAAAAGAAATAGATGCATACAGTACTTCTGTGGTGACGTGTTTCAGAGGATGTGCGTGCTCTGATTGCCATTCTAAGAATAATTATATAGACAACTGATTGTATAAGTTATGGTTGAAATATGTTTTTAAATCTTTAAGGGCTGCACAATTATTCAAATTGAAATTGGGATATGACCATACATTTTTTTTTTTCAGGATTAAAGCAGAGGACTCGATGGATGTAGGTGTGATCATGCTTTTCTATGGTCTGTACTATGGGGTAATGGGACGTGACTTTGCTGAAATCTGCTCAGACTACATGGCATCCACTATAGGGGTAAATACATCAGTTTCTATACGTCAATGTCCAGACAATCTCATATCAATGTAACTCTTTGGCCGTGTGTCCACCAAAGCATTTTTGTTTGTCCGTATTATTATTATTTTTTTCATTTGTTTTCAATGGGATCGGCGCTTATTTAAATGCGGTAGCAGTGTGACAAGGCGCTGAGCATCTATTTCGCTCATCACTGTCACTCTTTACCCAGCCGTCCAATTACAGTGGAGGAGGGGCGGGACAAATCCCACATCGACCCACCACCACATCCTGCTTGTACAAGGACAACAGACGACAACAACCTGCACAACAATGGAACAAAATCATTTAATACAAGTACTTGCTTTGGTGGACACATGGCTGTAAACCCTTAAATTATTTTCAGATATCCTGCAGTATTATTTGTGAACATTTTATGTTCATAAAATGTATAAAAATCAACATCTTATTAAAGGTTTTTGTTAATTCTCCCAGTAACTCTTTTACCTGGTTTGTGCCTTCTTCAGTACTATAACATGGGTGGTATGCCATCCCGAAACCTTAGTGATGACATTTGCGCCGTGTGTGGTCAGAAGATTTTTGTGGACGTAGATGAGGAAGGCATCATTGAGGACACCTACCAGCTCTCCTGTAACCACATGTATCCTTCATTTCCCATAAACCCTGCCTAGTCTTGTTGTTATATTGAACATTTTTTATGGTAGCTACTGTACATTTATTGATATGCATTTCAAGAACTTGTTTATTATTCTTCTGCAAACCTTTTTATTTAGTCAGATTATCCTTAACTACATATGGTCAACAGATTTCATGAATTCTGTATTCGTGGCTGGTGCATCGTGGGAAAAAAGCAGACGTGTCCATACTGCAATGAAAAGGTGGACCTCAAGAAGATGATGAATAACCCGTATCCTTGAATTGTTAAATTGGTCATAATTTACAATATGTAAACTCCCATTTGCGAGAACTATTATATTATCTGGGATAAAACTTTGTACTATATGCATTTTTTATTTTCTTAATGTTAAATTAAACATTTAAAAAAAATGGGTAACTTAATTTTACAGTGCAAAGTGTACTGAAGATGAAGTAAACCAAAATACACAACATTTTTTAAATTTTGTGTATTTTTTTTCAAAATTTTCAAAAAAACAAACAATTTTTTTTCAAATTTTCACATTTTTCAAGTTTTCAAATTTGTAATGACCCTATTTACGCCTTAAATCTCCACATCAGTTGGGAGAGAACACACGTTTTATATGGACAGCTTCTGGATTGGTTGCGGTACCTGGTCGCCTGGCAACCCATCATAATTGGAATCGTGCACGGAATAAATTTTTCACTTGGACTTGAATAAACCCCTACAGTATTTGATTCTGTTTAAAACTGTGCATGTGTTGACCTTTTTGAATATTTATTTGTAAATTTTACACTTTATAATATAAATCAGACAGCTGCTTATTTTGCTTTTTAAAATCATTAGACACATGGAAACGGACTTGTTCACATACACACAACTCTCTCAGAAGTGACTTACACTGAAGACATACAGAAGCCCCTCTAAAGCTGCGGTCATCACTCTTAATCGAAACCGTGCCTCGTTTTGTTTAATCGTTTAGCATTGTAATGGTGTGGATATTAAGTGGTTATGGTTTTGTTGCGGTTAAATGAAGCGTGAAGACTAGTGAGGTTATTGCCAAAGCTGCACTCAGTATTTTTATTTTTGTTAGAAAAGTTGGCCAACTTGTCAAACCCCATGAGGCGACCTGCTCTGTGTAAAATTAAACTATTTTTTTGTGGCTACTGATATGACTTGAGTCTGTCATGATTGTGCTAAGTAGAAAGAATTTGTGTTTGACGTTTTTTTGACATTTGGGTATGAATTCTGCCAATGTTGTTTATGTATTAGTATGGTGTTCATAATAATCCTTTGGGTGAGTGTATCTCTAGAGTTTATCAACACCCAAATCTTCAGTGCCAAATGTAAGTGCCATTGTTTCGTCTCAAGCGGGCCAGAATATTGACTATTTAAGTGACAATAGCAAGAACATCTTTAAAATTTAAAGTAACAAATTAATGATGTCATATTTATCATCAATTCTTTTTGAAAACAGGACACGCTTTTTCAAAGTCACTTTTTAATGCTCTGTACATTAGCATGATAATGGTATGATGTGACCGCAATATTAGAAAAATCAACACAGTCCAAGCAGGGTTATCTTTGCAAGTCGTAAACAGGCACACATCAAAAATATAAACTAAATGAAATAAAATAAACTACTGAAACCCTTTTTATCAATAAAGTGAAACAATGTTGCATGATGTAAATGTTAAGGCTGATTTTTTTTTTTTTTGTACAGACATAAAACGATAACATTCAAGTAAAATTCTTTTTTTGATGAACATACAAAACATTCTTTACATACAATCCTTATATACAGAAAATAAAGCAAATCAGCGCATTAAACCATATGCATAATTTACAGACTTACTGTACCAAAACAACATAGTGAACATTCTGGAATTTGCAAAAACATAAAAATGACTGTTGTATTTTAATGATGATGAAATACTATTGCTAGTAAGTTATGACATCATTACTACTATGTATGAATAATCCCTATAAGAATCCTGGCATTCACAGGAGAAGAATGATGGACAAATCAAAATCAGCTCCTTGAAAATGTTTGGCTTTGACTACGTTTGCATTTGAAACCCAAACTTCTTTGCTCTGAAATATTATTTACGATACATACACAAATATATAGATATTTCCAGTTTTTAATAATATTCGTAAGGAAAATAGAGAGTCCTAATATTGTCTAAATAAAGAGCCGTACGCTGCTAGTATCATTCTATAGGTATGCAAGGCAACAGTGCGTCGTGTAATCTACTGTACACACATACACACAGTAGGTCATTACACAGGATAGATGCTTCAAATGCTATTTGTGATGTTTCAATTCCACACTGTTAAGTTTGCTTATTGAAGTTGCACTGATTGGAGTAAAAACAATGAATTAAACACACGGATGGGATATGATCAGCGTTTGTGAAGCTATAATCAGGCCTACAGTACTGGTCAAAAGTTTGGAATAATTAAAATTTGTAATGTTTTATGCTTACCAAGACTGCATTTATTTGATCAAAAACACAGTAAAACTGCAAAAATTTAAAAAAAAAAAAAAAAAGAAGAAATCTCGCAATGTTAAAAAAACTTTTTTTTTTCAGCATCATTCATGAATCATTCTATATGCTCAATTATTAATAATGGTTCTTATTATTATCAATGTTGAAAACAGTTTTGGCTGCTTTATTTTTTTCAGGATTCTTTGATAAATAGAAAATTCAGTGATACACACACACATATATATATATATATATATATATATAAAATTCAGAATATATTTGAACTAGAAATCTTTTGTAACATTATAAATGTCTTTATTGTCCTTTGAACAATTTAATGCATTCTTTATGAATAAAAGTGTTAATGTTTTTTTTTTTCTTTTCCCATACTTTTAAATGGTAGTGTATCATGCTTTCCACAAAAATATGAAGCAGAAGCAAATATGTATTAACACTGATATAATCAGATATATTTCTTGAGCACCAAAGCAACATATTAGACTGATTTCTAAAGGATCATGTGACACTGAAGTAATGATGCTGAACATTCAACTTTGAAAAAATACATTTCAAAATAGAAAAAATTAATTTTAAGTTGTAATATTAAAAAATATTACGGTTTTACTATTTTTTGGAAAAAAAATAAATGCAGTCATGGTGAGCAGAAAAAACGTAATAATTCCAAACGTTTAGTAGTCTATTAGTCGATTCTAAGATGCATAAACAATGGAGCCAAATGGTCAAAGAGGGAATGCTAAAGCTTGGATTCAGTGAGATATTGCTTTCTGCTCTCTTAGCTGCATTAGTTATGAGCATCACCAAAGTGTTGAGATGTCAGATCTAGAGAAGTCAGATGGGACTCGGATTTGCGGCTCATGCATGGTTCCCACATGCAGCTTTCTGTAGTTTTCAGCTTACTGTAGGTAATAGACTCACCAATGCATTCTGAATGTCTCAGTATTTCCACAGTGTAATGTGTGGAGCTTTGGCAAAGGCATTCCAAGGCATCCCGTAAATAGAGTTAACAAGCTTTAGTCTTCTTAGAGAGTCATTCGACAGTTATAACAAATACTAAAAGATGTGAAAACCAAGGAGGGAGAATACCATTACATCACATTAAGTGCAAGATTTGGACACATACAGTTTGACTTTGTTTCTTTTTCCAGTCCCTCTGAAGTCATTGTAGGTAGCGGTACACTTTAAAGCAATGGTTCCCAGAATCAGCCACCACAACATGGCCATCCGAGGTCAAAGCGAGGCCCTGCGGCCCGTAGAGAGGGTCGGCAGCGGTGTTGATGTAAGACAGGAACGATCCACTTCCGTCAAACACCTGAGAATGACAAGCCCTTGAGGTAAGCTAAAACATACCAAAAATTAACCTGAAAGTTGAAAATTCTGTCATCATTTACTCACCCTCAAGTTGTTCCAATACCTGTATGAATTCATCAACCGCTTTCAGCAGAAGAAAAACGTCATTCAGGTATGGAAAAAACTTAAGGGCGAGTAAATGACGGAATTTTCCTTTTCTTTTCAGAAAAACAAAGTTCCTTCCGCAAAGGTAACCTATTGGAGACGGGCTTGGCTTACGTTAGCTTGTAAGGTACTAGTTAAATGTTTCAGGCTAGATTTTCTAGACAGGGTGGTGGGAGTGTGACTTCACCTTAAATATTATTTTTTACAAGTTCTGTCTGTGAAGTTATGCTGCGTTCACGTGCTATGGAAAATAGGATATTTTCCACTTGTGAACTGGTATTTACCAGTGTGTTGCGTTCAAGTGCTTTTGTTGTCGTAATGTGGTAAAAAGATGGAGATCCAGACCTGTTATTATTTAGCTAAAACAATTTTAGATTGCTTAAGTCATCTGCTACAGCAAGGAAATTATCAAAACTCAAAAGGTAAATAATATGCTGTATATTTTTTTACTATTCTCGACTCTCGCGGTGCTCTCCGCCATTTTGAAACGGTCAAAGGTTATCTCATCTCGGCAAGTCGTCCATCAAAATATTCTACGAGTTTCCCAGTGGTAACCACATGAGGGGGTGTTCATGTGCATTTTCCACGTCAGCTTTTGGTATTTACCATAATTACCATAGCACATTCACAACAACTCATTACCTGTATTCGACTGTTTCCCCAGTCTGCCACAATAATGTTCCCATTGACATCCACAGCAACCCCTGTGGGAGCATTGAACTGGCCGTTGCCTTCGCCGTTTGAGCCAAATTTCAGCAAGAATTCACCATCTGCATTAAATACCTATAAGAGAGTATTAAGTAATATTATAAAGTAATATGACATAAGAAAATTCTATACAGTACAAAATATACATTAGGAACAAAAGACAAAAAGTTGTATTTGTAACATCATGGAAATATTGATAGCACTTGTAAATACTATGTACTTATTATAGTTATTGCAATAACTAGGTACTACTAACCCTGAACCTAGACCCATGTAGTTACCTCATATTACCCACTATTGTCTTAGGTAAGTACACATACTGTAAAATAATGTGTGTATTTTAATTTGATATTACTTTTATTTTGATTTATATTAGTTAAAATGATACTATTATTAATTAATTAATAATAATAATGTTTTTTTAATAACTCTGAGATCAAATCATTTTCCTACAATATGTCTAAGCAGAGGGTCAGCAATGTTAAAGCAGCACTATGCTTTTTTACCTTAACTGAATAGCTTCAGAGTTATTGCAATGGTTATATATGACTATTTTCGGGTTGAATTTTGGCCCCCCCCCTTACCTTGACAGAATGGTTATGAAAGTCTGTGATGATTATTTCATTGTTGTTGTTGACTGCTGCAAAGTGTGGGCCTACATGGAAAGAAAGGGCAAGGATACAGAACCATATAATGATAAAATTACACAATTAAGTAGAAAATGTGCATCTGTCTGTTGCAAAGCATCTTGACTGCTGTAGATATGCACATACCTGCAAACTGTCTGTCGCCGATTCCCCGGCTGCCAAACTTAGTGACGAGTTTCCCGCTGGGCTGGAAGATGAAAACCGTACAAGCCTTGTTGTCCACAACGATAACATGACCGTTCTGATCCACAGACACTCCCTTCGGACCCATCAGCCTTCCTGAGCCCAGCTTGGCCTTTAGAAAAATATTAACAACATTATTATTATTTAAACTCCAGTTTCATTTCAAATTCTAAATTTGCTTGTAATAACTAAATATCACTGACCTTGTATTTGCCCTCGCTGGAGAAGATGCTAACCCACTTATTGTCATAGTCAGCAATGATGATGTCCCCATTTGGATGCACAGCGACTCCAGTGGGCCGCTGCAGTTGTCCCGGTGACCGGCCGCGTACCCCGAACCGGCTTTGAAACTCTCCCGTATTTGAAAATATCTGATCAACAGAGAATCTGTGTATAAAGATATACTGTACCTAGAGTTTGCATGTTTGACAATAACAGGGCGTTCTTACCTGCACACACTGATTGTTACTGTCGGCAATTAAGATCTTTCCTGTTGAACAAGCTGCTACTCCCTGGAGGTTAGTGAACTCTCCTTTATTCCTCCCTTTTGTTCCTATGAATGTAAAAGACTTGGGCTGAAGATAACAGATGACTTTGTGAACATTAGTACAGTAAAGATAACTTTTTTTTGAAGAAGGGATTGTCAGGGATTTTTTTCCAAAATCTACGTCATATAACCTAAAAATATTCTTCTTATTTTATTCAGGTTTATTTATAAGGTTAGATTGGGTTCAAATATGCATTTTAACATGCATTCCCATGCTGGAATCACACCACTGTTCCAACCAAAGTTGTAACCAAAGTTAAGGGGCAGTAAGTTTATTACTATTTTTTTTTAAAGAAAATTAATACTTATTTAGCAAAGATGCATTTAATTGATCAAAAGTTACAGTAAAGACATTTATAATGTTAAAAAGATTGCCATTTCAAATAAATTATGTTCTTTTGAACGTTCTAAGCAGCAAATAATCATATTTATATATATATATATATATATATATATATATATATATATGATATATTGATATATCATATATATATATACATACATACATCATATATATATATATATCAATTTTATATATATATATATATACATATATATCATGGTCTGTTTTAAGTAATAAAAGATATTTTTGAATGGTACTGAATGTACTAGTTTGGTGCAGGGTTATCATTGTTAACTAAACATACAATAAAAATAAAACTTTAAAACATTTTTGTGGCTTGAAAAAATAAAAGGTTATAAAAATAAAAATGTATGTTAAAAAAAATGTTATCTTATAATTCAGCTTGTGGCCAAGGCAACATTTCTCATTTTTGTTTAATATAACGAAGTACTAAAATAGTACTAAAATGACAAACTGTATAAACCAAAACTAATAAATAAAAATAAAAATATATTTATATGACATTTTTATTAATATTTTAAATTAGGTTTTATATTTATACCTATTTTTTACTTTAATTTCGCTTAAAAATTTAGTAATTTTGTCAAATCTACAAAATTACTCAA